AGATGGCCGCTCACACTGAGTCTGGTTCTGCTGGAGGTTTCTTCCTGTTAAAAGGGAGTTTTCCTCTCCACTGTCGTTACAAGCATGCTTAGTGGGAGGGATTGCCTTCAATGAGTCAATGTAATCAACTGATTTTCCTTAGAAAACTTTGAATCAATTTGACTGGATGCTCTGGTGAACTGTAAAGTGCCTTAAGAGGACATGGGTTGTGAACTGGTGCTATATAATTAAATTGAATTGAAGTTAAATTGAAAGTGAATTGAGTAGTTAGCGCTACTGTTAACTGTGTGAGGTATCATCCTGAGCACAGGGGAAAAAATAAATTATCATAATAAACATGTAATATCATGTAAACGTTTATGTTGATTTTTAGTGATATAGAGGGTTGAACATTTTATTTGTCACCATAATCATGTGTAGGTTCCCTTAAATAGATTGATGATATTAACCCTGTAATGCCAAATGTATCATATTTGATACGGTTTCTGAAATGTTTTGCGTCGGACACCTTTTTCATAATTTAATGGTAAAAACTTTGCTCAAAATCCTATTGTATACAATCAGATATACCTGATAACTGAGGGCAGAAGACTACACAAAAAATAATCTTGACTTATCACATAGTAATAAATTATTAATATCAAAAATCTATTTCTGTTTTTTCTTTTTACATATTTTGTTAAAAGGCCAAATAAGGACTTCAAACAAAAAAAAAAAGTAATTTTCTGTTTTGTTTTATTCTTGGATCGGGCTTTAAAGGGTTAAATCCCAAAAGAATAGTTTTTATTGTTACTCGATGAAAAAGTGTAAATCTGCAGCTGTGGAGTTTAAAAAGAAAAGCTGAATAAATTACTTATCACGATGTGCTTTTAAAGCGCCAATTGTAAAAGTCTTCCACTAATTCACATCATCTTCTGTTCTTTACCTGAAAGAAACTCCCTTAAAGGCAAACCGCCCCGGCCAACGCGAGGTTTAGGTGTGAAGGCTGTGAATACCGAGGGGTCCGTGAAGGCAGCATTAATTGCGCTAACCTGCCTCGGCAGACTCTCCTCACCTCATTCTGTGAGACGCCGCCGCTCGGCTGGCTCGGCTGAACTAACCCGGAGTGTTTGGACGGTTCTTCACTCTGAGAGCAGAGCTGAATTCCTCCTTCTCTCTGTCTTTGAGACACTTTAAAGATGAGCAGTTTAATGGCCTATAAGGAGCCCTTCGGTGAGTACCTGACTCTGCAGGAAGTTTTATTTCCCATCTACCGTTAATGACACAGCCATCTGCCTTTACTTATTCTCTCCTCTGAAATGTGTGCATTTTAGTTTTTATTCATTTTGTTTCTTTTCTGCTGCGGTCTATATTAAAGCAAATGATGCAGGTTTGACTCAGAGCAATTGAGAAAGTTTCCACTTTAAACTTAAATTCCCTCCTCCATAGAGTGGGGAAACCCAGCGACCTTAGAGCCACAGCAGGCTGTCTGCCCAGGTTGACCTTCTCTCATGCTGCACAGCGGAAACAACCGCAGCCGCTGACTGGGAGTCCAGACGCACTGGAGGATGCGCACAATGAGCTGTCATGCTGTGGGCGAGCAGACCCACTCCTGCATCTTCCATCAGCGCAAACTAAATAATCCAGTTCGCCCTTCTCTGCAGGATTTCAACAATATTCCTAATCATTATTAATAATAATATATTGATCTAATATTGGATCAATTCACCTCTATATTTAACCCATCCCCGTTGGGGAGCAGTGGGCTGCCATTGTGCGGCTCCCAGGGAGCAGGGCCACTGGAAGTAATTTGAACAGCTAAGTTTTGATCTGTGAAAACGTCTTATTAACTCTAAAGAAACCTAAGTAGAAGTATAGATACTGCAGTTTAAAAACACTCTGGTAAAAGTTGAAGTATCAGCTTGACCTCTTTACTGAAGTAAAAGTGAAAAAATATGTGCTCCAAAAACTACTTAAAGTATAAAAATATAAAGTAACCTTTAAAAAAACAAACA